TCATTCACATTACTCTAGATTTTGAATCACACTCTCTGCACATGCAAACACAACATACTGAAGTGTCTGGCTGACTGTTTAATTTTCTGGCTGGTTATAAATGCTGCTTTAAGTATTTCCATGACAACTGCTCAAGGCATATCAAGCCTAACTGCTTCACTGTATCAGCAAGATGTAAGTAAAAAGGTGACAAGAATGATAGGTGCTTTGTCAGAAATGGCTGAAGTCCAGCCTAAAGGAAAGATTCAGTTGGGAAGGAAAACAAACAAAAGACAATCCACTATTACTGAATGGGAAAACAGTAGAGAAAGAAAAAACACTGTTAATCTTAGACATTCCTGATGGGCAAATTGAATGAACTCTATAAATACAGAAACTGGAAGTGAGAATGTACTACACTGAATACATAAAGACACATTTATTCATTGAGACTATAATTGGAGGAAGCCATTTCAATTTCTCTGGCTTTGCAATACTAAGCTCATGAAATTCAGATAGTCATTTAATTATAGGCAGTCTATTCATCCACCTTTAATTTCATATCTGCTTACAAAATGGGTATGACTCAAGTTTGAATGTTTGAATTAATAAAAACTGTTAGATACATCACAGATTGCATCTTTTCTGTGAAACGTAGCACAGTACTAAGTGCTAAAATGACTGTTGGCTCACTCTAATTGGCGTCTAATTCAAGTGAGTTTTTATCAGGCAATTCTGGAAGTCAAAATTTCTCTCTCAAATTGGGAAACATTGCAGTACAGCAGTATGAAAACTTGTATTCAATAAAGAAAAAAGAATAGGCGTTAAAAACACACCGCATGGCAAACTAATGAAGAAATTAATGTTCAGAATTCTGAAATGCATGCTTTGCTTTAAGGGCTTCTTGACTCAGCTCATCCTGCTTCAGCCAGGAAATTCTGGCAGTCTGGAATTCAGGCAGTCACTCTGCAACTTGCTTAAGCATGGGGTACCTAACCCATGCAACTAACAGGGCCTGATCGTACTATGAACAGACCCTTAGATAAGATCTAGATTTGTCCCTCTTTGTGCAGCTCTCAGTCTGCCTAGATGCTTATCTGGAAATATTCTTACCTTTTACTCCAGATAACTGAAGTTCCTTCTGAGAAATGGTAAAGTTTACCTTCTGAGAACTCTCTTTGGCAAAAGGACTTAATTAAAAGTCCTCATTAAAATGTCATGTCAAAAAAAAATGAAAATTAACAATTTTTTCTTCACAGTAAAGTAAGCAGGACACATTACGGGTTCATTTAATGAAGAACTACATCCCCTAATCTACTATAAAAATGATTTAAGGATTAGAATATGCAAAATGCTTGGTCTACCAGGACCAAACATTAGATGGCTATGGAAGTGTGACCATCCACCTCAGATGGTGAAAAGCAGGACTAGTGCTCACAGACAGAGAAAGGTGGTGCTTGAAATCACCAGCAACTGGGGTGAGGAAAAATGCAGCAAAGGCATTTTAAGTGAAACATCACAGAAAGCTCACTGAAAGGGAGCGACGCGTGGGGTACCTGGACTGGCTAGCTGGCTGCACGTGTGAAAGGCCAGAGGAGTCGGAGTTTGGCGGCACGGGGGCAGCCGCTGCAGAGGGCGCGGCGGCTCCCTCCAAGCTCTAGTTCCGTAGTCCCTCTCCTGTCCTGTTGCCACTTTGATATCCCCGTGTACCCACTCCCTTCTCCCTGCAGATGCCCCCGTGTTGCAGCTCTGTCTACAGAACCACTTCGACAGCGAAACGCATCGCTCTTCCTCTTACGTTTCCCAAACCCCGCTCTCACCAAACACCCGCAAACTCATGAAGAGCCGCACGCTACCACCATCGCACGAAACCCCGCCGTGCAGTTCTGCACGAGCAGCTGCGACCTGAGCACCGACTCGGCAGGCGGCAGCGGGCACGCCGCGGGGCCCCCCAGGGGAGCAGCTCAGCGCCAGCCCGGCAACGGCCAGGGCGGCGGCGAGCGCGCGGGGCTCCATGGCGGCGCCGCTCGCTGCGGCTCTGGGCTTGGGCGGTGGCGGCGGCCGGGAAGCGCGCTAAGTGCGGGAAGCGGAGGGCCTACAGCGTGTCCCGTAACTGCGCCCCGGCGAGGTGCCGAGTGGCAGATGAGGGATCCTATTACCAGCCATGTGACAGGAAAGGATAGAAACCAACACTCCAACCTGCTGCGGCGCCAACTGCGGAGCTACTGCTTTTGACCATGACACGACAGGTTTGGGCTCCGCGGGACCTTTCTGGTGCGCGGTGTCGCCTCCCCGGACTCTCCTGCGCCCCGCGCCTGCCCGCGGCAGGGCCCAGGCAGGAGCCCCCCAGCCCCGCGGCGCTGCCGAGGGCCCCTCTGCCCTGCCCGCGAGGCCTACTGCCCCGATATCCTGCCACGGGAGCCGCGCTCTCCCATCGCCAGGCCGGGTCCTGCGGTACGCCCTCCCATGCCAATGGTGTCTGCTAACAGGCGTCAGTAAGCAGCTGCAGTACATCTTTCTTTGCTGCAAGCAAACTCAATCAGACAAACCCACCACAACCTTGGCACTCAACGCCTGAAGCTTTGCTGCTCAGGACCTCGAGATACAGAAAGCTGGACCCCCCCAAACACAGCAGGCAACAGGGAGGTGGTGATCCTGGGGAGGGTACTGTGACACCGCTGTCCTGAGCCCCCACGGTGTGACTGTGCAGGTGCATACACACACACAGGAACAGGTACATGCATAGGTGCACACATGCCCACGTGCACACGTAGACACAGGTACACACATACACAGAGGTACATGCACAGACACACACACGTAGACATATACCCGCCAATGCACACACTCACACTGGTGCACATATGTGCACATACACATATACATACATGCACACAAAACACACACAGATGTACATGGGTGCAGACACCGAGACACACCTATGCACACACACATGCATATAACGCATCTGACAGGCTGTGGCTCACTTTGGGGGGCAACCCTGGAAGGAAAGGTATCAGGGTTATCCTCGGGACAGTGACTGTAAATACAGGGACACTTCTCTTGTTCGACTACATGCAAACAGTAAAACTGGTTCTTTATTATAGTGGTATATTATAAAGCCACTGTCTTAATTTCTACAAAGGATTTATAGCTGACCTGTGAGCATTTTTTGTCAACCAGGAAGTTGAATAATGCCAGATTTTTTAAAAAATCCTTTGATATTTACACAATAGGCTGAACATGCCATGATAATTCCATGACATTAGTTAGCATTTATTATGCAATTGAACAGTTATTGTATAGAAAGCAGAAATTAACTGTTAGCATACTACATAAAACCATCACTTGTGTTTGAAAAATCTGTCCTTGGTTGATGTATAAAAAGATGCATGCCGCAGGTAATTTAATCCTCCACTATACTTTTTCTGTATATAATTGAAAACTTCTCTGGAACTTCACTGCTTCTTGTTCTGATGTAGCTGGAACCTCAGAAACAAGCTTCTGGTTGTGTTTGTATCTTGAGAGGAAAAGATAAAAAAAAAGCTAGAGGTAACTGTTAAAATAGTTATGTTACTGTTTAAGGCAGGGTGAGAGGAATACAGGGATAGGTAGACTAGGAACATATATCTTAAAGCACTCATTTCTGTGTAATTTCAGTCCCTGTCTCACACTGTTGAAGAGCCAAGATACTTAAATCACCAAAAGAAGTCACTGAATGGTAAGTAGCACTCTTTCTGAATGAGTAATGTTTCATGAAATTACAGAATACTAAAGACTTGCTGTTATTCCTATGTAATTATCCATTTCTCTGTTCTTCCGGGATGGTCTATGTTACAGAAGCAGAAGGAAAAACTGGAAAAATTTATCTATCTGATTTGAAAATAATGCTAACAAAGGGTCTGGAAAGAAGGCTGCTTTTGGAGGAGAAACTAGAAAGAATAAATTAAAAAAAAAAAAAGAGCAAGCAGGGAACAGTGTGAAATTCAGAATCTTATATTGCCTTTTCATCAGGCAGTAAGACTAATTAAGGCAGTCTAGGCATCAGTAATAGTAGTAGAGCTGTTTCATATCAGTTGGTTACGAGCCTGAATGTGAGAATCATGTGTGTAAAATCTAGTAAATATAGGGAAGTTTCCATTGTCTATGTGTTTTATATGTATCCAAAAAATATTAATTGCTGCAGATGTCTATATTGTATATAGCCTGTTTTTATATATATATATATATACAGGGGAAGAAGCAAAAAATGTTTAATGTGCGTGTTCCTTGTGAAATATAAAAAACAATGCTTAAGTGATTTAAAGGAGAGGGGCAAAATTTAGCACTCTAATAGACACAGAGCACCGACAAAGATGAAACTGTTGGAAAGCCTTTTGAAGTATTTTGTTAATATTGGCTAACAGAATGGAACATAGATAAAATTTATCAATCTTTTAAAACAAATGATTAAAAAACTCACAGTAATTTACTAACCACCAAATATTTTGTAGGGAGTTCTTTTAAATATTAAATAGTTTTTCCAGTGAGTTGTATTTCTGTCAACTTTGGTAGATAGGTTCAAAGAATGTGCAGCAAACTGATACAATCCTTTAAATTCTATTCTCCCCTTTGGCACAAAAGTTATAAGCATTCTCAAGGCAGATCCATGCATGCCTAAAGATGGGAATAGGTTCAAATATGTGTTAAGGTGCCGTGCAATACATTCTTCAGATACCTCCAGTTTAACTATTGGTATTATCAGTACATCTGTTCTTAAATAGAACTCTTCTAGAGAGCTAGGCTTATCCCCTAAAAAAGAAATTATGACCTCAAATCCTGTTCTTTTTCAATCAATTACATGTTTGCTTGTCCTGATAACACACTCCCAACATTACTTCGCAGTGTTCCAGCAGAATACAAACTACTGAGACTTTTTTTAAAATTTGAAAATAGTTGTTTTTCATTGAGAAAAAAATAGTGAAAAGGGCATGACATTTGCTATTTCTTTAGCAGTTTCCTTTTTATTTTCAGTTGAGTTCTTACCTCTCTTTTCTACACAGGAAAACCAGACGTGCCAGGACTGCAAGACCAACAGCTCCAAATACACAGCCAAGCAGAATTACTTGCGTAGCATCTACAAAAGAAGAAAGCAACCACAACAAAACAGTAAGACACTGATATGTTTCTTCATATGAATTAATTTGAATGTAGTCATTTGAGAGTTTTTTTGTTTTGTATATGTAGCACTTACACTTATATTTTATTACTCTTTGTATTTTAGGAACAAACAGGTAAAGAGCAGAAAATCACATAATTTCTATATTTGAGGGTTAGGACAGCTGTCTGTGACAGTTGTTTTAGAACAAGGATAGGATGGTTAGTTTATATGCAGTTAGTTTCATGAATCTTCAATGTTAATTTAGAACTCTCTACCTGAGCAACTGACAACTGATTTCTCAGTTTGTTTTAAAAATTTATGTTTTCTTCAAGAGATTTCTGATGATTAAATATATGCTTGTCTTAGTATTCTTAAATGAATTATCAAGAACATGAATTTGTTTTGCTGTTCAAATCAAACTTGCTTTACGTTATGTGAAAGGGAATTTCCTAAAAATATTGTGCAAAGAGTAGTCCTTTGTCTCTGAGACACTGTGGTAGCCCAAGATGAACTAGGTCGAAGGCTCTATCTGTGCCCTATCTGTGAACCTGTTAATAGCACTATGTGCATCTATCAGAGAGTATGTAGTTTGGAGATAGATGAGCGGTGGCATATCTGAGCTCTAACAGCTCTATCTTTTGTTCCTGCTTCTCCACTGATTTGTCACGTCTGCAGGAAGGATTGCCCAAGCTACAGCCTAGCACACAGTGATAACAGAGTGATGTAATTTACACTTCTGTTAACTCTCGAATAGGTAACTTGCCTATACTGAAGTTTAAGGAAAAAAAGCGTGATAAACAGGCATTAATGCTTCATCCAGTAACTTCTGTACCAGGCTAAATAACTTGTGTTTGATTCAAACACCACCGTGCAGACAGTCTGTCAAGCAACAAGAACCCGCAGTTGGTCTTGGTAGTTTGGTCCAGTGGTGAATTGTCTGTGTTGTGAAAACATTGTATTTCACTATTGTGAAAACTTTGTATTTCACTTCTAATCTCAAGTAATCTGTCTTCATTGTTACATGTTTTGCACTCATTCTCCTGGAAACCATAAATAAATAAAAATTTCAGAGTAAATCCACCTGATATTTCTCATCTGAAATAAAAGGGGGAGTACTAATGATATCTCTGCCAGCTTTCAAAAAAAGAATGGTATTTACACGGAACCTAACTCTGAAAAATTAGACCTTGAAGTGATGAGAGGATGGAAAAGTGATGAAAGTGTGCTTAACAATTGGAAATCATTGTCTATCATGAACACATCATATATGTATATTGCTGATATTTTACATTTTTTATTTTACATTTTACTTCTGATTCTCCTTGTTGCTTTTTCTGGAGAGTTTCTTACTCTCCTGCTATGCAATGTTCTGTGAACAGAGGTTGCTGTGGTAGCGGCAAGCCTTGCAGCAGAATGGTAATTAGAAGCATAGCAAAATAATTATTAGCAGAGTATTTCCATGGAAACGTTAAATCAAGGGAAAAAAACTCAAAAGCAAAAAAAATGCAGGCCTAAAAGTGTAATGTATTTTTGAAAATTCAAATACAAAAATACAGCTTGCAAAAAAGCTGGTGTTTAATTTTATTTTCTTGCTTCTGCTTCCTTTCCTATACAATTTTCAGAATCCTCATACCTTCAGTTAGGTTTTCTAGCTTTTGAAAAACACAAGCTCAACATAAAGTTATGTCAAACATAAAGATCTGGGTGATTTGCAATAAAAAGAGATTGAATTTGATGTGCTGAAAAACTGCATCAAGTGTAGTAATACTGGAAAGAAGCACTCCTGAAGTTCAGAATATTAGAAGCCTGGCCCCTATATTCCTGATGAACATGAAAGAAGTCAGAGTCTAAAAAAAAAAGAAAGGAAAAAACAAAGTGTTTAAATAGTTCATGTTGGAAGTAAAAATATGACCACTAATCATAGTGGCTAGGCCAGTGGTCACCCGTTCAGGTATGGAGAAATTTGGAAGAGCTGTTTATTAATTTTTGCCAGCATTTTTCTCGTATGGAGAGGGCCCTCTGTCACAGACCTTGGTATAATGGATGTTGGTGTAACAGCAGCATTTTGCCATGTGGAAAGGAGAAAAGTGAGGAAAACTGATCTCACTAGCAGCAGGTATATGAAATATTCTCTGTTAATTATGTTGAATTAAAAATCAGGATAAGGCAAACTGTCACTGCATTTCAACTCTGTGCTGGATAGCAGACTAAAATGTATTTAGCAAAAAGCAAGTACTGGATATGAATGTTGTAAAATCACTAGACCATTAAACTCAAGTGAGAGGAACTTCTGTCTGTTTTGCCAGTCTTTTGTGGAGAAACTTGGATCTCTCAGAAAAATAATTTTCTTATATGGAGGCTGATTTCCAGAAGCATATTTTCTGAGGAGGAATAAGGATGTACAGGAGTGCCATTATCAGGACACAGCAGTTAAAAAAATGAGCGAAGAACCTTATATGCAATTTATATTTCATATTGTCTTGATTATGATATCCTGCTGCTATGGGCAGCATTGTTACTTCAACTTCCTGAAAAATATATGATTTTTGGCAACTACAAATGAGCTACAATTCCAAATAGTAAGGAAAGTCTTTGTTAAAATCAAATTAAAATCCTTCATGCCGTCTTCTTTGTCATCTTTCCAGGAAAGTACTGGAAATATTCTTTTTTGTTTGCTTAACCATAAAGCTGTGGCACTTCATCATTCTGAATGCATCTGATTTCTGAGTATCTTCCAATTCTTACCCTTTGATCTTTCAGGGCTGGCTTTTTGCCCCCTTCTCTTGAGTGTAAATGTTAACATCCAGTTTGCTTATTGAGACTGACTGGCTCATATCCAGTATGCATGCGGTTGATGGCAGCAGTGGAAGAATGTTCTAAGTCTTTAGTTTGGCAACATGTTTCAGCACTGATCGTTTTCAAGCTCTGGCCTTACTTAGTGAAGATTTTATTCTTCTCAGACTTTTGACAAAAGATCTGTTACTATTATGAACTAAGAAGAATAATAAATTATCTGGTAGAGCTTCTGAATCTCACATTTTCAACAGTTAACTAAGGTACTCCATAAGTATCTTTGGCCTATCATATTAAATAAAAATGTAAGAATGCGTCTAACCTCACATTTTCAAAAATAGCACTACTGCTGAGATTGGCTTCCATGAACACAGATGTTACATATTGATTACTACAACAATAGTTGGGCTAAGATAACACCATTCACTCATCTGTTTAAAAGTAAGCAACATTGTCTATTTGGTGCTTGTTTTGCACAAATGTTCAGAATTATTTTTCATGCTGAAGTCCAGTCTACCACCCAAACTATCTTGTGGTTCATTTTGCCAAAACCACCAACCAAACGTGTGGAACGGTGTGCCAAATAACTAACTAGCAGGCACAGGCCTGCAAGGGCTGATGAAATGTGTCTGCTGGCCAAGAACTCATTGTCGATGTGCTCTGCATTTTCCACATTTTGTTGAGAGGAGCTCAGAGTGGAGGATCTGCTACTGGGGCTTCCTTTCCGAGCAGTTTGAGAATAATTCAGCCAGCACTAGAAGCACTTCCACAGGCCGTGCGGCATTGCCTCGTCCCAATTTTTCGAAACGTCGCCACCTTGTAGGCACTTAGATTAGCTATGGGCTGTGAGTAAAAGAGCTTTACTTTCTACACAGGTTGCCTGTTAGAAAGTATTCTGTGATTTCCTATAAATCATAGAGTCAGTGTAAGTGTTATTAAATACAAAAAATCCAGGATAATTAATAATCTATAGCATTGATACAAGAGAGGTAATAAATTCTTGGGTTTTATAATGATTAGCTGCTATAGAATAATACATTGGATGTTCAAATAGCATGCTACTTCAGAACACAACAAATGCAGTGGTGTTCAGCAAGTGTAGGATTATTAGGAGGAAGGATGGGTAGAAGTAGAGATGCTGTATCTGCTCTCTGCCCTCTGTTATTACAGACTGTTAACGAGTGTGTCTTGAACGATGTATTTTAGAATGTATGGCTTTGTAAGCCATCCTTCAGATGGGTCAGAATGGGTCTGTGCTTGCCCAGTTTCAAAGAATCACAGAACCATAAAATCAGTAAGGTTGGAAAGGACCTTTAGAGATCATCTAGTCCAACTCCCTTGCACACGCAGGGTCACCTAGAGCATGTTATACAGGATTGTGTCCAAGAAGGTTAAAACTAAATTAGGCATGACTGAGCAAAGAATAAGAATAAATGGATGGGGACTGTGCATAATTTATTATTGAAAAATAACTCTGATTATATGGACAGTTGAGGATTAGATACTTTATGGCTATCTATGTGTATGTATGTATATATAGACATGTCTATTTAGAAAAATGATGAAAGAATATTCAGGTTACAGGAAAAAAGCACACAAAAATCATGCTGTAGATAAGGATAGCTTTTCTGTCCTTTTTGTCTGTGTAATAATTATTAGCAAACTAATTATTAGCTAACTAATTTCCAACTTTTCTACAAATGAGCTTGAAATTTATTTTAAATAATCTATTCAAGAAGCATATCTACTAGTTCCTTTTGGTCAAACCAAGAGAAAGAGATGCATTACGCCCTGAGTATTCTATTTTCTATTGCAGATGACTGGAGTGCTGATAAGTTTAACCTAAAATTAAGTCCTGCAAATTTTAGAGTATAAAGATTAAGTACTACTCTTTTTTGGAGCTCAAGTGTCTCACATTCAATTCTTTTACCTCTGAAGTAAAAGAAGTAGCTTTTCTCAAGAGGCATTACAATACTGCCTTGTTTCTAAGGGTGATTTATGTTGAAATTTTTAACATTTGAAAAGACACAGACCTGTTCTCAGGATGCAGCTGGGTGTTTCCCCGGACCAGGCCCCTGTTGCTTGACAGATTCTTTCCTTTGACCCAGTGAGCTCATAGCCCTGATTGCAGGTGAAATGGACGGCTGAGCCTGACAGATAGTTTGTTCCTTCCTTTCTTCCATTGGCTGGATGATCCAACCAGCCACAAGAGACCACTAATAAAAGAGAAATATTTGGTGAAAGTCTTTTGGACTTGGGTTAGCAAATCCACATTGAGATGATTCAAATAGCATTTTAGCAGCAACTCAGAAAAAGACAAAAATTTTCAGGCTAACTGAAAGAGATTACTATGTTGGCATCCATCTAATTTCTTTCAATGGCTGGTGATTTTGCAGAAAACTGGAACAAGTTACCTTTTTAGACACATTTTCAGATTTGCCTTAGGGAAAATTATTGCAGGGTTCAGACATAAAACTGGATAATATTGTCTTTGTCAGATAAGCTTGTCTTGGAGGTATTCAGGTTAAAAATGATGTTTGAGGGTGTTGTATCTAAATGCCTCGATTACCTGGGTTAAGACATGACTTTAGACACTTTACTTCTGGTGATGTTGACCGATAGAAATCTCATACCCTCAAAGCCTAGCAGATATGTCTTGTTTAGGGTCTCTTTAATATTTCAGATTTCCTGAATCCTGAAATTCCTGTTGTCTGAAAGCGCTAAAATCTTGGTCCTTTGTGGATCAGTCACTCTATATATAAAGGTAAACCGGGAACCCAGAAGGTAAATTGCTAAGTCACCCCTAGCAATAAGAGCTACCATCTCATTATACATGGACAAGGGAACTGTAGGCAAGATGAAGAGAATCTGTAGCACACTTTGGAATTATCTGATTTTAGTTCATTTTGCTTGTTTTTTGTTTCTGAGGAGAGCAGATGAAAGCCCAGAAAATAAAGCTGAGGTTTCTACTCATGCCAATGCAGTAAGAGTTCAGATGACACAAAGAAATGTATTCTGTGTTTGTAATCACTGCAGAGTTTTCCTGGTACAATGATGATTCCTCCCACTAAAAGTGTTTACCAGCACAGGCAATAATAGGTGATGAAAACTTCTGTTAATAGTCTTAACTACTTAGATTCCTGTAGAACTGTAGTGGTGGCTGTTTTGTTTAATGTCGTCTCACCTGACTTAAGATTTTCTACTAGCCACTTGTGATTCTGATGAGACAGTTTTGTTGAATTTCCTACTTGAAGACTTCTGGTTGTCAGGACGTCGAATCTGCAGAATGGATCAGAGTCACAGAGCAAAACCATGTCTTTCATCAAGGGATCAGCAGGGTCTTCATAAGGAAAGAACACTGGCAGAAAAGAGGAGTTGTGCTTTTCCCCAAAAAAGAAATTGTTCAATAAGAACTCTGTGTCATAAGTAAAAAGGGAAGTTCCATTTTCAACAGCCCCTTGAGAGAAAAAGAGAGATTCATGTGTAACTTTGTACAATTATCTATACCCATTCTGATCATAATTCAGTTGCTTATTTATGTAAATATAGCTAGAGTTGGAAAAGAGCTGTGAAGTCCTACTTAGTACATCTTCACAGAATTCAAGATTTTTTTTTCTTTTCACTAGTGCCATCTTTTTACTAGTACCATACCAAGCATTAATGCGAGTGTTTGGCTAACCTAGTGTTTGATCGGTTACTTAAAATTAGATCCAAATAATTACACAGCTATGATTTTACATTAAGATGGCTTTTAAGGCCTGCTGCCAAAATGGTGATTAAAAATTACCTCAGACAGAACTAACTAAACCAAAAGGTGCAAGCAACATAAATCTAGATCCTACTTGTCCATAATTTGTCATTTCTGGTGTAGTCTCTCTCTTTGCTTTTGCTATGCTACACAGGAAACTTGCTGAAGTAGTAGCAGTGAGACTTTTCAGTATGATCTGAAACTCTGTGTATGAGTGTGCTTGATACAGTGAGTGGTTGATGGAGTGTATTTTGCAACATATTTCTGGCTCATCTGCTTACCTTATGTTAGGAAGAATGCAGACAATTTAACTCTGCAGGCTAGATGTAGTAGCCTACTCATTTTCATTAAATTAAAGCAGCCACTCTTTTACCTTTTTTGAGAGAGACAATTACTAAATTGTGACTTAATAGGTGATTATTAAAATTAACAGCATGGTACTTAATGGAAACCTTCCTAATATCCTTGGAAAAGATAGCTGACCCTGGGGACAGCTGTACTTTTTTGACACTTGTTATGAACCTGCATCCAGCTGGTCACAGTAGGTGGAATCCTGAAAGCGTGAGATGTCAAATATGGATATTAACTGTTGATGAGGCAAAGAGCAGGAGACTACCTCTTGACTCTATCGTCATCCATTTTGGTTAGATATTTAATCCACTTTTATAAAGAAGGTCACACTTCTCTTACTCCCTTTTCTCCTCCCCATACACAGTACTTAGCATAGATGTAATTTTCTAGTCCATAAATCCTAAACAGTTTTGAATTTGAAAATAAAATGAAATTACAGGTCAGACGAAATGCTTACAGTCAGCTCCAAACTCAAACAACTGCTGAGGATTAGCATGAACAGATATGGTTGTTTTGTTCTTGAAGGTATATTCATCCTCTGTATTACCATTCATTACCCCAAAGAGACCCTGTGTGTGATTCATAAATTTTTCTGGGAGCAGAACTGTCAGTGTTAGAAATCCTCCACTTCCTCTTATTTCCACTCCAGCCCCAGAAGAAAACATCACTGTGATGGTTTGATCAACTGCAGAATGAAGAAAAAGACCTGTAACATTGAGATGGAGAGGAGAAAATAGATGATCAACAGTTTGCTGTGTCACCTGTTTTAACCATTTTTCCTTAAAGCATTTCCTCCCTTCCTTTCTGGGCTACATTCTGAGAAGCTTTTAAAGGGAGGCTGCACCTTCACACCATCAGTTTTGGGATGAGAAGAGAATACTGGAAAATCTGGTAGTAGACCATCTCTTCCTGGGCACAGCGTAGAAACTTTCAGTTACAACTAGGTTTTTTAAGGTAGTAATGATGAGAAACAGGAAAGTCACAGGATATGATATGCTCACCTGGACCTTGACTCCTCACTATACCTCTCCATAGTCACAGTGTTATTCTTGACGACATGCTTGATCTATGGCTGGGGAGATTTGAAGGGGATTACTACCCTGTAACTCTTGTGGCCATACTCCTGTCCACAGTGTAGCAATCAAGAGTAAAAATGGTATAGCTATAATAAATTTCAAAGGCCAGAGGAATCCATGCACCAGGGCTACCAAGGCAGATTTGGTACACAGGCATTCTCACTCCTACTCTGTCCTCAGTTTGATTTCTTTCACTGAGGCCTATGCCAACTGTGCAGTTTCACTAATTATGCCTTGACTTAGTGTCTCCATTCATCAACTAGAAGCAACTACACTCAAGAAAGTCAAGTTAAAGAATAAAATAACATTAGTTGGGGTATTGCTAGTCCTTTGTTTCATTCATCACATAATTTTCAGTGACCTGCAGTCTGTTTTCCAGAAGTACAATGAAAAGAGAGTTGAAACATATAAATCTAGGGATATTACATAGACTACACGGGAACACAAGGCATGCCTGGAACAAAAGCACAGTAATTAATAGCTTTCAAGGCTGATATTTGTATCTGACCTTTTAAGTCCATCCAACTTTGCTCGGAGAAATTGACCACCATTTGGTTCAACAGGACCTCCATATTCAAATCCTCTGAGTAGCGTACCTCAATCACATCAGAATTGTTCTCCTGCATAGCCACTGCAGACAAGCCTGTCACCTGAGCTTCTGATCCTTCCAAAGAAAAAACCCACCCCCACAAGATATCAGGAATCATGTAAAGTAAATATGGAAAGTAATAATCATACAAGGAAAAAAATAGATAATTGCTTAAAAAAATAAATATGATTATTTGTATTTGAGGGAATTGTTAAGGATGTAAATCACATATAAACCCACAATTTAATTCTCCTAACAATATAATGTATGGAAAGGGGAATGTTAAATAGAATGTCGGGAAATACTAAATTCTTAAACCGAATGGCAGTGGCAGAAGTATGTTAGAAGAATGGTTTATCTTCTATGTTCATGGCCTAGTAAAACCCATGATCTCACATAAAGCATGCCAAATAGAGGAAACTGAGGGAACAAACGTATATAATACGGTGCCAAACGTATATAATATGGTGCCAATACGGTGCCAAACGTATAATACGGTGCCAATACGGTAAACTCGAGACTGGATTGCTTATTGACTACTATCACTTCTCCCACAGATACAGCAAAATGTATCGAGAGCTTAGTATTTCCCTGATAATCTCTACCCCATTCAGTGTGATATTCAATATCTACTATTCAATTCATGTCTACTTGGATACTATTAGATTATTTTTAATCTATCCTAACAATTTTACCAGAAATGACAAATTATTAAATGGCATCCCAGATGCCAGTTAGAATATTCTTTCTTGAAAACAGGCTGTTCTTTTATGCTCCATGAGCACTAGATATGGGAAAAGCGTAAATTAAAGTATCTGATACAAGTCTTTTCATGTTGTAATGAATTAATTTCAGGTTGTAATGTAAACCTTTCTCCCCCCACTTTTAAGTGTGGTTATATGATCGACTCCATCTTACAGGTTGGTTTGCAATTGGCCCAATCAAATGATGAAAGCCTGTACCTACAGGTGCCTGTAGGTTTTGTGCCCAAGGCTTTGTTCTACAAATAAGACAAAAAGTAAAAACAAACAAACAAAACAAAATAAAACAAGCGGGACAATCAGGCTCAATTGAACAAAGGCAATTCCCTCAGCCATCTTCATGTCAGACATTCAGCATTTTTCTACTAGTTTGGTGTATTCAGAGAGAATTTTTCCTCATTCAGAAAATCCTTAGAGATGGGGATGAGGGCAGAGAGAGATGACAGATGTTTTCATGAGTTCTCAAAGGCAACATATATTCTTAAACTTTCATTATTCAAACCCAACAAAACTAACAAATTATCTTTCATCGGAAAGTTTTTTTTTTCCTTCAGCATCCTGACTGCCTTTTGATTAACTTAAAAATGCTGATCTTTCACAACTGGCCAACCTTCCTGAAAAAGAGACATTCTTTTTTTCAAAGAAATCTTTGTCATTTTCAGTAATAAAAAGGACACTAAAAGGACAAAGAACTGCTCTTTTCAGTAATAAAATTCAGTAATAAAAAGGACAAAGGACTGCCCTTTCCATTTTTGCAAAATAATGCTTTTTGCAACTAAAACTCAGGGAAAAAAAATCTATTTTCTTATTCCTCCTTTTTTTGCTGTTACATACTTCTGAAGGCACTTCTGGACTTTGGTATCCAAAGGCTTATCTTTCTTCCCATGCATATATATCAGCTGGCCTGAAAAGAGATGTCTGGCCCTGTATCTTTTAATTTGATCTTCAGTATTTCTCACATGTTCTCTTTCATCCAGATCACACAGGAATTATCCATATCTTGCTGCCTCTTTTTACATTATGCCACATAAAAGACATTCTATTAATATCTAACTTCTGCTAAATGTCAGTAACCACTCTCTATCAAACTATTACTTATTATTTAATTCCAGAATTATTTATACTGTCTCACATGTGATTCTTTCAGCTCATCTTTGATGGATTTCCCCAAGCTACGCAGGAGTCCTGTAATTACACAAGAACAATCTTGTAAAGATTGAAATTTGTTCTTAACTAGTACTTTGTATTCCTGACTTCATTTCAGATTCTGCAATTTATCCGGGGCTCGTCTGTTTACTGTGGTAAATCTCCTTTTGGAGATTTGCAAGGTTTGAATTATAATCAGTTCTCTTGACTACTCTTTTTCTGGGTTCTTATTTTCTCTCTTGAGTCAATAAATACAGAGTTAAACAGATAACACTAGCCCTACTCTACACACCTATAAGCAAATCTGTGCTTCACAAGTATGTTTTTAAACATGATGCAAGCAACTCCACACATTTTTGGCCAGTTATCTTACAGTGCATATCTACTGACTACACAGAAAGGAGAAATGCATATCGTAAATATAAAGTCATGTTGTCATTGATAAGAATTTCATTCTGAGATGTTCTTTCTGGGAATGGAAGAAGGACTGTGTTAAAGCCCAGAGAGAGAGCAGCATAGCTTGGTAACTGGGTAAGGAGGGAAAAAAAGGAAAAGATAGGAGGAATTCCATAAAGCAGACTCATATGCTATTATCTGTTAGTACCACTTCCTCTCTTACCAACTTACCATTGGGAAAGTGTGCCTGCTGGGTCCTTCCTTGCACTCTTAGGAATGTCAGATCAGACTGTACAAATGTGTATTCCCCATGGCCTTTAAAGGTGAAGTTCAGACCATCAAATGTGATAAAGTGTGGGTCACCAAAAGCAGATGCTGTTTTAAATAGTGGAAAGAGAAATTGTAATGGAAAAAAGCAACTCGTTATACTTCCTAGGTTCACCAGAAAACAAGCAAACAAAAAAACAAAAGAACAACAAAAATCAAACACCTCTGTCATGATCCAAAGAACAGCACTTAGAGAAAGAAAAAAATGCAATTGGGACAAGGAGGAGGCTGACCTGTGGTAAATGTGATGCGTACAAGCTTGACAACATATCTTGCATAAGTGACTATGAGAACAGTTCAAAATGTCATTCCAGTTACTCTTTTCATCTATCAACATTTAGGACAAGTTTCTAAGGCCGTCACGTGTAGCAGTGCAGGTAGGCAGTCTATTGGAGTCCTCACCCGCAGGCTAGATGCCTGATTCCCATGAAATGCATGGGAAGAGATGGGTTTGGAGGCAGGACTGTTCCAAAAGCAGCTCACCAGGGAGCTTTCGAAGGTTGGAAGGAGTCAGAGAAGGAGGATGGGGGAGGGACAGAGAGACTCGACAGAACAGAGAGAGGCCAGTAATCCTCATCTCTGAAACTTCTCCAAATTCAGCAGATATCTTTGATTTTCCCAGATTGAATAACAAGAAGAAAGAAGGTCCTTCTTCTGCAGCTCCCAACTGAAAAAAAAAAAAAACTGCTGAAATTGTGCCATCTTACCTGGAATATGAACCACAACATGCTTAAATCCATAGGACATGTGAACCCCTAGCCGATTAGTTGTTAAGTATTGGGAATGATTGCCTTTCTCAATCTTGCCTGAGGGAGAGCCCCCTCCATGAATGATATTCATTAGACCAGGGGAAAGAAGATCATTTTTCCCCACAATAGTTGGTGCATTCACTTGGGATTTGCAGGCTAAAATGCAAGTCCCCATTATAATTAATTACATCAAACACTTCTGATATAAATCCCAGTAATGAAAGCTTGCCCCTGAGCGGTAGGTCCAAGATGTTTTTTCACACCAGGCAAAGAAGATATTTAAGCCAATATTTCATGTTCCAGGAGAGCTCTCTAAGTACTGAGGTAGATCACTTTTTTTAAGGTGTTTTTCTACTGTGTCTATTTTAGACACAGTCTGAGAAGTTTTTAGAATTAAGATCTTTGTAGAAGGACTGGTAGAGTTAGAGGGTTATTTTCTTAGAGGTTTAGGCTTGCACAAGATTAATGGATATTCTGGCTGTGTAGTCACATAGGCAGTTTGGTGTATACTTTCCAGAAGAAATCCAAGCATCTTTGGGGCTTTGTGAAAATTGTACGATGGATTTTGTCATGTTGAATGATGGATGTAATAGCCTAATTACTTCTGAGAATATTGTGAAACTACATGCTTCACACTCCTCATCAACTTTTGCTTAAATCTTTACATGAGAGGCACATTTTAGCCTTTCTTTCATGTAGAGGAGCTGTCAGAGCCCTGAGTACACTAATAGCCCTTAATCGACTGGCCTCATCTGGGTCCTGTAACTACACGCTCATCCCACAGGCCTGGGGGTCTGTCTAAGCTCAGATCTGGGCCTTCAATGTCTGTCTGAGCTATGTCACAGGTGTACCAGCCTTGCTGTGACACTCGGCTCTCTGCTCCCCAGCCCCTAGGGAGGAGCTGATGCTTGCTGTTTCCTGACAGGGACTTTCACCGGAGGAATCAGCAAAGACATGATTATTCACTATTGCTAGTCTTGGGAGAGTCTCAACGGAGCTATGAAAAAACAACAACAACAAAAAAAAAGCTGTTAAAATGGGGGACATAAAGGAGGAAAAGAAAAAAAAAAGAAACAAACAAAGATCAGTTCACCTTTAAAGGAAAGGCAAGTGAGGGCAGCAAAGCTAATGCACCAATCCTGGCTTGTGGCATGTCATCTCATGTCATGCTAGATCTCTTAGGGCCCTCTCCATTTTTTTCCTTTCTGCCTGAAATCAACTACTGCTTCCCTTCTGTTTCCTTCTTTAAGGAAGGACACAATCCTGTTAGAGGTACCTGCACCTTACCAGTTCAGTTCTTACCGGAATAGAAGTATGGCAAGACCCAAAGACTGCTTCCTAAAAGCAAGCAGAAGGAGCAGTAGAGGCACTAGCAAATGGTAAGGCTTCTATATTTGATGAATAGCATTTCTTGGCATGACAGCTTTTTCTAGCTATTGCCAAACTGTCATTAAACATCTCTAACTTCTTTCTGAGAAAGTGCACGCAGACAAGAAGAAATCATGGAGATTACTAAACTTCAGCTATTTAACTTTCAGAGGTTAAGGAGATAATAGTTGAAAATCTTGTAGGAGAGTCAAAAAATATACAGTTTCTACCGCTGACAGATCAGCTGAAGCCTTCCATGGAAATTTTCCAGCAGACATTGTATCCTCCGCATTGTCAGTTGAAAATACGCATCACACTAAAAGCAAGCCTGAATAAAATAGCTGTACTCCCCAATAGAATTCTGAAGCACTTACCAGCTCGAGGTGGGCGGTACTTCCTACAGTCACTGGAGGGCCGATGTTTCATGTAGAACTGACAATTATCAGACCATAGGCAGCAGTAATAGAAGCTGATGACATCATAAAGCCAGTGGGAAAATCCAGGTATTCGGGGAGGTTTCATGAAAGGTGGTGAGCCCCAGTCATGTCCTCGGTCAGGTGTGCTGCCTCCTGTGGAGTCTTGCGTGAGGATTTGGGTCCCTGTAGCATCATAGCAACACTGCTGCCCTGCAGCGTACTGGGGACTGATTGAGAAATACAGTGTCACTGTTCATCTCTGTGAAGTCCATTTGTCTTTGGAGTTTGCCTATTCTTTTTTTTTTTTTTTTTTTTTAATGGACATACCTAAATATTTTAGTTAGCAAACTTTATATGATGGCTGGAAATCACACTTCTCAGATTTCTTTCCATTCTTGTAAAATAGGCTATGAGGGAGTAGAAGGGAGGAGGCTATAACCAAGGCAGTAAGGAAATTCTGTAGGCCTTATAACTACAGAAACATTGCACTGTTTAACCCTATTCTAATAGGATGAATGCAAAGACTAACCTGTTGAACTAAAGCATGCCGATAAAAGAAAGACTTAGGTATAATCAAATCTCTTTTAGGCATTAGTGCTTCTTTAAGTATACTGAGATTTAGCATGGCGCAATTAATTGTTTCTAAAGCCTTAACATCATCCCAGCAATGAGGGCTAATAAGAGCATAAATGGGAAATAGTGGTTGCCTGAGAATTGAGGGTCCAGGGACCTTTGTGACTTCTCTAGTAATGCTATCATCTCAAGTGGAACAAATCATTAAAATAAAATAAAATAAAATAAAATAAAATAAAATAAAATAAAATAAAATAAAATAAAATAAAAATCTCTTTACCTGGCTTGAATGGCCCTCACACAATGCACAGCCCCAGGGTGGTAAGTACACACACTCCCCTTTTCAATGTCACAGCCATAATCAGTCTGAAAAAGATCAATGATCACACTCAATAGAGTTCTCACTTTGCCTGTTTTGTTTTGTTTTAATGTCCTCTTTCCTCTCCTTTGTCTCTGAGACATGTGGAGAGTCTAAATGACTTGGATGTATGTCTGATGTTTGCTTCATATCTTGACATGCATGCTGTCAGCATGACTTTTCCATCAGATTGCTTTGAAAGAGCATCTAAAATAACAAGAGTGAAAAATTCAGCCGTTGTCCTTTTTACTGTATAGTCGTGTAGAATGATATAGGAAAAATAGTGAATTTAATACTGAAGTGATTGGAATAAGAAGAGACATATCAGTGTGTTATGGAGTATTACAGCACTCTTTGAAGACTAGATGAGATAAACGGGGAATTCAACTGTAAGCATAACAAAGATCATGTCAGATAAAGCTTATACTTCGATCCCATTAGACGGAAGAGATAGATTTAATCTGTTCTCCTTATGTGTTTTTGTGTGTATGATTTAAAATGTACATCATGTTTGAAGCTTCATAAACAGGAAAGGATTGTAACAAGATATATCTAATATGTTTATTTTCAAAATGCATGAATACACTGCCATCATTTGGTATCACAAATAGGATATAAATTTACACTATCTGGTCCTCAAGTCCCTGTTGTAAGTCTGAAAATGTAAAATTAATGGCAATTGGTTTATTTGTGTGTATAAGTTCCTTTTTAACAGCCAAGCATAGACAGCAGAAGGAAGCAAGAGATCAGAAATATGAGTGGACCATGGACTTAAACTCCAGAAAAAAGAGACAGAAGTACTTGGAGCAAATTATGGTTTAGCAGGCACAAAGCCTGCTTCTTTTGTTATGGAAATATGCCACGATATTGCCTATGGACATAGACTGTCAACTTGTAGGGCATTGAAGAAATCATCTCTTCTTCCAGCTCCACAGAGCTCATTGTGCTCTCCCTGAGTGTTTTTCAGTCATCTGTTGAATCACCATCTTAATTTGCTATTTGAAGATGGTTGCAGCTGGATGGCCTATGTGCACATTTTTATTCCTACTGCCCAAATAAGCTGTATTTGCCTCTGCCATTTAACATGCTATTTGTGCAATTTTAAATATAATTGTATTTCCATATATTAAATTTCAGAGGGGTATGTGGGGAGTGGGAAGTACAGCAGTCGCTAAACTCTTACTTGGAACCATAATAAACCAGTGTTCTATTTACTGACTTACATGGAACCTGCCAGTGTCTGCCCTTGCCTGTGCCAAGGTGCAAGGGCAATCTATAATTTCTTCAAGGAAGTTTGGAAGCTTCTCCTCCTTTCTGTCCCATTCTAGGCATTTAGCAGTTGCCCATGCACTTGGGTCACTTCTAAAGTCTTCCCCAAGATGCCAGGCCAGCGCATGCTCTGAGCTCCAGACTGATGGAACATTGCTAGGGAGGGGAGGAGAAGAAGATAAAGGGGAAAAAGGCAAGACAAAAAGTTTATCAGATGGCTGAGGAAGCATTATTTTAGAGTAATTCTGGGTATTTATTGCTAACTATAAGGAATCTTACAATCTGAAATCTTTCTTTGACTACAAAGGTCACTTTTTTCTGCAAAAAGTTACTGCACTCTGAAATTTTTCTAATTTAAAAGGTGTCATGATACATGTAGTAGGTATGGAATAATCAGAAATCCATTTTAGAATTTGTGCTTCTGGCCTACACTGATCTTTTCAAAGACAGCTTTTCTTTTCATACCTCTCCATATCATGGATTCATTTAGGCCAGAACAAATAAAACCTGTGACCAAGTAATATCAACCTGAATGGCAGTAAATGGCAAGAAGCCACAGTTCCAAGACCACTGTTTTCTATCCATGAAAAATATCGTACATAAAAAGAAAAATTTCAAGTGTAGTAAAAAATGCTTCAGAAAGAGTAATGTTCATCCTGCTATGTTTAGCATCTCCAAACTGATAAGATAAATAGGTCTGATAGATTAGCAATATGATCAAACACTGAAAACTCTACCATCTATACCAGGAACTGTAGACATTCCAAAAAATCATGAAAACAAATTCCCCCAAACTTAGTATGTATGGAGCACTAAGAGTTAAACCACCAAAAATAATGCAAAATTACATAATGAATCAAAAGAAGCAGGTATAAAATTTGTAAGCCTGAAAATACTTCCATACAAAACCAAAGAAAGCAAAATGCAAAGGAGGACCTGTGGTTACCAGAAAGAAAAATTCTGCAACATAGACCTGCAACAAAATAAATTAGCATGTCCTAATTTCCTGAGAGAAAAGCAAAATATATCACATTAAGTAGTCAAATCACTATCTCAGAGGACTGAACAGTGCAAGTGAAACTGATGTGGCACAATAGAAATAAAGGAGGCTTGTCAAGTTTTACCTACGAACATTGACAAGGAAGGAAGAAGTCTAAGCTGCAACAGACCTTTTTGAACATACAGTTTTAATTGGCTATGTTCGCAGGAATGATCATGATGCTATTTCAAAAACAACAACAAGCAGACTGTTACAGAAATGCATATACAAGCTAAATTTTCCAGTAACGCAAAGAAAATAAATCATTGCTCTTAATAAAAAATATTTTCAGAAACAGGTGACACTAAGCCTGAGAGAGATTACTCTTACTAGAAAGAAGAAACTCAAGAAAACATGCCTAGAGCAGCCAATGCACTCTGGTATCCCATTAGATATCTTTGACACTGTGTTTACAACTGTTTTTTACGTTGCGCTAATTCATGTAGATAGTTGCATGTTTTTCTTTAAATGTGGTCCATGCTCAAAATGTAAGTGGCATAGATTTGAAAAGCATATGCTATTTTCTTTCTTAACAAAATAGAGCTTGAGACATGGTTTAAAACATCAAAGGAGATGGCAGTTTTAATATAAGAAGCAATAATAAGGTATCCGTGATACATGAATGTCAAGAAGTACTTGCCTCTGCCCATCAGAATAGTTGCTGGGTGTAATTCTCAAAATTCCGAAGTCCACAGTACTGTAATTTCCTTTAGCAGGTACAGGTGTGAAGGAAAATGTCCCAGTATTTGGTGCTTCTCTTGCCAAAGTATAGAGATATTTCCATATGGCTAGCCAGCTGTCTGAGTAGGCCTCACCTGCCACAAAGAGGAAGAAAAATGCTTTTGGATGCTGGAAGTTACCTACATTATGCCAATTGCCTGTCTCCACCCATATGGGAATGAGAGGAAAAATGATAGTCACGAGCTGTTTATATCTACATATCTTTTCCTTGAGCTTCAATGAAAATGCACAGACCTCTGCACAAAAGTTACACAAGATGTTGATTGCTTATGCACAGATATAGGTAAAATGTCACTTTACCTATTTCCTCATATCCCCAGACTTCTATATTGATATGGGTTGCTGGAAGCACCTGGTGTTTCCAGGTGAGGGATATGTTTCCTTCAGTGTTGGCGGTGCCATAATATTGCCATTTTGTTGCATTTACCAGCACAGATTTTTCTCCATCTGAAACTTTGCTGTGATGTACTGTGTTACAAAACAGAAGAGAAGAATTAACGACATTTTTACTTTGCATGGCTCTAAAAAGTTGCCACGATAGCACAAGATTTAGTAGTATTTCCCCTGTGTGTTTTTCCTAATAGGTTGCATGATGTAACAACAGTAAAATGAAGCTGAGAGAATGCAGAACCTTGCATAATGTGCCTACTCCTTAGATTTCAACTTGAGGATGCAGCTATTTGCTGATAGAAGCAGCTATTAAAATGGCACTTTTTCAGGCAATGTTACTTTTGACCAGGATCTTTTATGACTTAATGCTATTCGTGCTAAGTAGCTGCAGAACTAGGTTGTCATGAAAACTCATCTCTCAAAACAAAAATAACCATGAGGGGAGCAAGAATGACTTTTCTGAGGTCAAAGAGCCCTTCTAGGAATAAGAGAAGTGATTAAAAGCAAATGTTTACATAGTGTGTCCGTAGAGCAAGTACACAAAGGCAAGAGGGATACTGTAAATTTAATTAACCTGATAACCACGTTCCAGAGTATGGAAATGTCAGCCCATCATCTGCAGAAACTTCAAATGGGACAAAACCAGTCTCATACAGCAATGGTGAGATGCAATGGCCTTTTCCATCCTTAGCAACATAGCCATTGGTTTCAATTTTCTGCTTGAACCTGTTAACATCGAAAACATTTTTCAGTGTGCTACTGAAAGAAAAAACATTCTGTACAGCAGTGTGGATTCTGCTGCACACTGAACAAATACACAGTGAGCTATAAATGTCAGATTTGCTATTTAATTACTGGGGGAAGGGAATGTGACAAATTAGTAACAAACAACAAAAGAGAGAGCAGTAAGACAAAAATGATGGTAGTGTTATAGGTTTGCAGCATGCTTAACCATTACAGTGATACGCAGGTATCATAGGTAGATTTGTTTTTTTGTTGTTTGGTTGTTTTTTTTTTTCTAGTAAAATCTATTCATGCAGTGAAGGTCATTTAACAACCAAAGATTGACTGAGAACTCATTACTTCTAATTTAACCATCTGCTTGCAGTTAGGATTCTTGTCCAGATTTCTAAATAATGTTGTAAAGAATAATCCTACCTACATGAATGGATGTATGGTGACTATATTGCTATTCTGTGTGCTGTAGGAAGTTTGAGGCCTGTTTGAGGAAGTTTGTTTTGACTATGATAAACCAACTGTGCGGGTAATTCACAGTACAAAGACGGTTATATTTTGCAGAATCAATTAGTGTTATTTTCCAAAAGTTCATGGTAAGAACAGTTTTTCTGATGTAGGACTAGAATAATTTAAAGTGCCGCTATCCAGATAGTAAAGATTCAAAAGTCTTACTTAGAGCCCTTGGCAGAGAAAAGGTCAGGACGTTGGCACCAGAAAAAAAAATGCAGTATACCTTACATATCATGTGCATAATGTTTATGGAACGACACATACTTAGGATCTAAGAGTTTGTCTTACAGCCAAAAATAAAGTGTCTTTCCTGGATTCTGGATTTTTTTTCTCTTTGCTGGAGGTCTGTTTGAGAAATTAGTATTTCTTTTTCAAGAAATGGCATGCTAAAAAAATATTAACTCCAAAAAAGTCCTGAAATAAATCCCTTTTAGAAGAGTCACAGTTGTTACCACAATAGTGGTGTTAAGGGAAGGACTAACAGACAAATAAATGTATCATAGAATGACTCAAACCAAAATAAATGTTCCTGTGTAGCAATGCATAAAAGGCGTATTCTTGAGGTTGAGGATTAGCAGAGTCTTTGCATATCTGAAGAGTTAGAAGAATTCTGACAACTTTATAAGTACACTTTCATTCCTGCACAGACAAACCTTGTTTTGTGGTGATTATGTACTACTGGAAATTCTCAGTGAGATTGCCTCTGTTTGACCCAGGAATATTAAAACATGGCCCACCTGCATTTCAGCCTAGAAGAGGTATTAAAAGCTGTATTTTCAATCTCAAAGTCTTTGCCTCCCATCAAGGATCCTGAGTGTGGAGAAATATGAAGGCAAAATTCTTTATAATCGGGACAGCAAGTCCTCAGGGATTGGCATGTCTCCTGGCAAGAACAGGTACTGAGTAGCTCTCCACATCGATGTGAGCAAGAATCTGGAGTTCCTTGTTTTTTTTAAAAAAAAAAAAAGTAAGGGAAGAAAACATCTTAGGAATATTACTAAGATCCTCTAGGTGGTTTCTATAACAGAAAAAAAAAAGTCTGAAAAACTACTGTAAATAAGTGAAGTATAATGTTTATGTTAGATGGACACCGGAAGATTGGGATTCTTGGTGGAGTGTGGAGAGCAGGAAAGAGAAGAACTAGTAAAATATTCCTCTCTGCTAGCTTAGCTCCTTCATGCTGGGATAATTTAGGGGTGTGGGGCAGGAAGAAACAGGAGTGGTAGTGGATCAAAAATAAAGGCCAGTCTTTCTGTGATGGAGTTTGTAATGCCTGTTCAACACGGGGAGCTAAAGAGTTGGTCTAAGTCCTTACAGTTGCTATGTTCTACAAATTGTATCTTTACTCACAAAAGAGATCCACTTTGCTACTGGAAGTGGACAGGAGGAAGGGGGTGAAAATTACAAGGCATGGATAAAATCTTTGCTTTAGTTTATACAAACATTATGGATAAAAGCTTTTCTTGTACAAATGATGTTGTTTACTGAAGTGTGCATTCTGATGTTCAGAAGTGGAAAAGGGTTGTAGTTTAAAGCAGAAAAGTTATTGAAAGCCACTCACCTGCATTCCAAAGGGCAGCAAGGCAGATGGGAATGAAGAAATAGAAACCAATGCCTAGGAATTTCATGACTTGTCCAGAAGATCCAGGACGAATGCTTGTAATTGACTTTGTGCCTGATACGGAAGAGCCTTTTATAGAAACACGTGCCCAGAAATGATTAAGATTCTCACTGTTCAAAGGTTTGTTGTAAGTTACTGAGGCAAAACAAACCGAAGGAGAGGCTCTTTTTCAGTACTACTGCTATATATCACTTTACTAAGCTTTTTTTTTTTTTTTTTTTTTCTGAAAAGGAAGGAAGGATGTTGTTTTTACAAGCATTTCTGCTCCAAAGTTCAGGACCTTGGTGTCAGTGGTTTAATTTGGAGAGAATGACAATGACAATAGATAAGAGGAGCCATAAAGAATAGATGCTGACAGTAGAGTTTTGTTGAGGAGATACCTAGACGTTGAAAAAGCACATTTACTGCATTAAGTGTGCCAAGAGAGGGCTGTAAATGAGAGGTAAAAAACATTCTTAAAAAGCTATAATTGAAAATGGCAGTACGTGCAGGACGGCTGCTGTCACGGCGGCCCTGTCTCGTCCGAAAGGAGGTATGATGCACGTAAGCGATGCACGCGCAGCGCTGCCCGCCGCTCCCCGCTGCCCTTGGCCGCGGACGCGGCAGTGCTGACCCCACGCGGGGCTCAGGCCCCGGGCCCGGCTGCACCTGCGCCCCACTCTCAGGGGACAGCCAGAGCTGGGTAAGGTCAATGGAAGTGCTCTCAGATTTGCTCTCCACGCTCCACAGCGGAGCTCATGTATCTGGAGGTGTCAGCCGCAGTGAGTGCTGGCGTGTGCCTTTTGAGCCCTTTGGTGAGCACTGAGGTCCTTCTGAATGGTATTGAATAAACTGAATGGTATTGAATAAAGCTCGAGAGGAAATGAGAGATAAAATACTAGGAACAGACTGGAACATTTTATGCCAGGGGGTGCATGTTTAATGATTAAACAATATCAGCGGTTAATATTATATGGAGTGGTGTGTGGATTGCCTAGACCTAAAAAGTTACAAAACTCTATCAAGCTGTGCAGGGTAAGGCTGAGGATCCTTCTGCATTTTATGAGTAGTTATGTGAGACTCCTTGAAAATGAGCAGACTTGGATACTGAAGATAAAGCGAACAAGATAACTTTTACTACATTATTTGTGGGATAATCAGCACCAGATATAAGGAAATGCTTCAGAAAGTGGATAGTATGTTTGGAATGTCAGTATCAGTTAATAGGGATTGCATATAAGTTAAAAAATAACAGAGAAGAAGTAGAAAAGAAGTGTAACGCTGCAATCTTGGCGACTGCATTCACTCGGAGACGCTTTATTGGGGAAGAGGTTTTCTGAGAGGACGAGGACACGGGAAAAGATACCGAACAGTATTGAAACCAGGGAATAGAATCTCACTAGAGAAACATCCATCTGCAATTCGCAGGGAGAAGGGGCACTGGGAAAATGAGTGCCCAAAGAGGCATTTGGAGAATAGGAAAACCCAGCTGCATCTGTACAGGAGGCAGATTTGCTTATGTTTGCTACAGAGGATTCAGACTGATGGGGACTGGGGGATTGAGAAATTGGATACCAAAGCCGAATCCCTAGTTTCAGTCAAGTTGGAGAGTTAAATAATTAATTTTTTAGTAGATAGTGGAGTGACATACTTGGTATTAAATAGTTGTAAAGGACCAGGGAATAAATTCTCTAGGCCAGTAATTGGTGCCATGGGAAGGCGAGAGGTCAAGCTCTTTTTCAACCAATAAAATGCAAAATTGGGAATGAGATCATAGAATCATAGAATCGTAGAATGCTTAAGGTTGGAAGGGACCTCTAGAGGTCATCTAGTCCAACCCCGCTATACACGCAGGGTCACCTAGAGCACGTGGCACAGGGCTGTGTCCAAGTGGGTTTGAAGATCTCCAGAGGAGACTCCACAATCTCTCTTGGCAACCTGTTCCAGTGTTTACACATGAATTTTTGTATATGCCAGAATGTCCCCTACTGCTAATGGGACTTGATAAATAAATTTTGAAGCAAAAATGACTTTCAATCAAAACAAGGTTCAAGTACATATACCACTAAATAATGCTTGGGGGGCACAGATATATATGTTACAGGAATTACCAGACGCAAAAGATGCTAAGTAGAAGCCACCTCCTTGGACATCATGAGTGCAGTGAACCATTATTTACGGTTTAGGGTTAAGGGTTTGGGGTTAGGGTTTAGGGTTAGGGAGAGGGTTTAGGGTTAGGATTACCGTTAGGGTTAGGGTTACAGTTTTGGCTTAGAGGTTAGGGTTTAGGGTTAGGATTAGGAGTTGGGGTTAGGGTTAGGGGTTAGGGTTAGGGTTTAGGGTTAGGGTTAGGGTTAGGGTTACAGTTTTGTCTTAGAGGTTAGGGTTTAGGGTTAGGATGAGGAGTTGGGGTTAGGGTTAGGGTTTAGGGTTAGGGTTAGGGTTAGGGTTACAGTTTTGGCTTAGAGGTTAGGGTTTAGGATAGGATTAGGAGTTGGGGTTACGGTTAGGGTTAGGGTTTAGGGTTGGGTTAGAAGTTAGGATTAGGGTTTAGGGTTAGCGTTAGGTTTGGGTTAGAGGTTAGGGTTAGGATTAGGGTTGGGTTAGAGCTTAGGGTTAGGGTTAGGGGTTAGGGTTAGGGTGATTTAGGGTTAGGGTGATTTAGGTTTAGGGTTAGGGTTGGGTTAGGGTTAGGGTTAGAGTTAGGGTTAGGGTTAGGGATGGGGTTAGGGTGGGTTAGGGTTAGGCTTAGGGTTGATTTAGGGTTAGAGTGATTTAGGGTTAGGATGATTTAGGTTTAGGGTTAGGGTT